TGGTGGTACAGTGCTGAGAGAGGGACAGGTTGGCAGCAGGGGAGCAGCACAGAACCAGACAAGTCAGGGAGTGGTGAGATAAAAGATGATTTAGGTTTCTGTGTGAAGACTGCAATTTAGCTTTAAGTGATTTCTTTTTTCTTCCTTTTTTTTTTTTTTTTTTTTTAATCTACACTCCCTCTAAAACTGGTTCAGCTGAATGGGCAAGTATGTGACTTTAATGAGATTCCTGAAATCTTAGTAAGAACTGTGGTTAAAACCAAGCTAGGCTGCCAGAAGCAGATGTATAGCAGGATGTTATGATACATCTCTTGGTGCTGTCAACAGCAGGTCCATGGCACAGAACCAAAGGGCAGGGATTCCCTTTTGAGCAGCACATGGAAACCCTCCTTCCCGGGTGTGCTGGTTTTGGCTGGAGTAGAGTTCATTTTCGTCATAGTAGCTGGTATGGGGCTGTGTTTTGGATTTGTGCTGAAAACAGTGTTGATAACTCAGGGATGTTTTGGTTATTGCTGAGCAGGGCTCGCACAGAGCCAAGGCCTTCTCCACCTCTCACCCCACCCCACCAGCGAGTGGGCTTGGGGGTGCACAAGGACTTGGGAGGGGACAAAGCCAGGACAGCTGATCCCAAATGACCCAAGGGATACCCCAGACCCTATGATGTTGTGCTCAGCAATACAGGCTACAGGAAGAAGAGGGGACATTTGGGTTGTGGTATCTGACATCTCAAGTAACCCAAGACTGCTGCTTTCCTGGAGATGACTGAACAGCTGCCTGCCCATGGAAGTGGTGTATGAATTCCTTGTTTCGCTTTGCTCATGTCCTTTTGATTGCTTTTGCTTTACCTATTAAACTGTCTTTATCTGAACCCATGGGTTTTCTCTTTTACTCTTCTGATTGTCTCCCCCATCTCGCCGGGGGAGAGCGAACGAGAGGCTGTGTGGTGCTTAGCTGCTGGCTGGGGTTAAACCATGACACTGGGCAATGCATCTCTACTGGCTCCTTAAGCAGAGGAGACTCTACTTCAGTGAATATTTTTCACATCTTGAGTAAGTGACTTACATCAGACAGAGCAGTAAATATTTCTGGATGCACTGGACATTGCAAGGCATTAAAAACAAGCATTGCACTACAGTCAAGTTGCAAGAATAAATAGGAACTTGAAAGACACTCTTGGTCATTACAGGAAGAATGTATGTCCAGTTCTCCCCCTGGCAGAAACCAGAAAACTTGCAGAAGTGAGGATCATTTGAGTTATGTGGAAGACAGGTTTCCTTTCAACGCTTCTTATAGCACTCGATAAGGATCTATGTCACACTTGGGGACATCCCAAATTTTTGGAAAACAATAAGGGTAGGACAAGGAATTTACATGAGTAACTCTCCTTTTCTCATTTACCAGGGCTGTCTTCCAGCCAGGGTTCAACTTTTTTCACGGTCTGCCAAATCTTTGCAAATGATCTCATGGACATGACCTCCCTTTCCTGGAGTCTTGCAGCTTCCCTCCAAACACGGCAGGGACGGTACTGGGAAAGCAGTGATAGCTCTCCAACTGCTTTGCCGTGACTTTGGAAACTGGATGTGTAAATTTATGCTTCGTGCACAGTTGTCACCCCTGAAAAGTGAACAAAGGCAAACACAGGTACTAATTTTAGGCAGCCAGCCAACACAGTAGACAGTTGCCTAGGGCAGCAGACTGTTGAATGCAGCAGAATGCCAAGGCTGTACGAAGATGCAGGCTTGCTGCTGCTGTGCTGCCCTCTGAGAAGGGAGCATTAGACCTTAGTCTCGTTTTCAGGCAACAGCTTCCTACTTGGCCCAGGTGATCCTCGGCAGTCTGTGTGCAAGCATCAGACAGGCAGTGCTCAAGCCAGTGTTAAGTTCTGCTATTTGAGTGATCCATGCCCACTGGAAGGGGTGGGGAGGGGGCCTTTTTCCACAAGAAGCAAGAGCAACCTCTGGTTTCTGAGTTCTTTCTACTGCTCCTTCATCCCCTAGTGTAGCAGAAGTGGTCTGAGTTGGTGTGAGTGGGCTGCTCAGGGGAGGGGTTTGGGGTGGGAGTCACTTGGGTGGTGAAGGGTGGACAGGAATGATGGCCAAGAAGGGTGGTGTGCCTGTGGTGAGGTTGGGCTCTCCTACCTAATACTGCACTGACTCTGTTCATCCCAGCCCACCAGCAGCCCTGCTCCACCCCACCTCTCATCCTCACAAAATTTCACTGCCTTTTCCCACCCAGCCCTGCTTTGGCAAACAACCTCGCAAAGCTGTTTGAACCAGCCCTGCAGTTGGGCTTAAAAAATAACCCAAGCTTTTTATTTACAATATCAAAAACTCGCTTTCAAGGTTTTGGTGGCAAGTAGAAACAGGCGCAAGGCAAAGGGATAGACTATATTCTTCGGACCACCAGCCAAGTGCTTTGCAGCTTTCGGTCTGGAAGTTGCTGGCTGAGGCTAAATCCCTCCAGCAATGCCTCACCTGCTATTATCACTTTATCTGAAGTCATAAACACAGACAGTGAAGAAATTATTTCCAGCACCTTAAAAAGGACTCGCTTCCATAATTCACATCTGAGCTCAGTGGCAGTCACTTTCACCAGCAGCAGATTTTAGGTAGAATTCAGAGTTTCGGACCTTTCCTGATGAAGCAGCTGCTTTAGTTGCTGCCTTTGACAGGATATTAGGTTGGCTGGATAAGTGATCTTATCCCATACGGCAATACTTATGCTCATGTTTCAAAATAAGATCATTGCCTTGCTTGTGCTTGTTGGCAGTCAGGTTGCTACTAGCAGTGTTCACAACACTTTGCTGTTGTTAATCATCGGCTGCCTGTGCATATTAATACTTAAAATGAGATATTTAATTAGTGCCGTGTGTTTCTGACCCAAGTTTCACGTGAGCAGCTCCCAGGCTGGAAAGGTTTTTGTTTCCAGCACGCCACGGTGCTGGTGCTGGACCACCAGTGCAGCGCTGCGTGGTGGTGTCTCCGTGTTGTCCCATGGAGTGCTGTGATGGCACACGTGCGCTTGGAGAAGCTCACACGAACACGGACATTGACATCACCTGTATTTGTGGAACTGCCTCATCGGCTGGTGCCGTCTCACATTCCTGGCTGGGAGAGGCACCCGGGCGGCTCGCCATGGTTTACTCCTTTCTCAGAATCCGCAAGGAGACTTGGTGAGGGCAAAGCTTGGAGATGCACTACTCCCATCATGTCATCTATTTACATGGCACATGCCTTGTGTGTGTGTGTGTGTGTGTGTGTAAGACAGCGCGGGCTTTTATTTTTTTCCCCCTGCCCTAGTTCTTCCTTCTGGCTGTGGTGAGATGGAAAGGTGGGAGGCTCTCATCTCTGCCAGCGAAAAGGTTTTCTGTATCTGAGGCTGGCTTGGAAATTCTTTAGGTGACATCACACCATGTCTGTGCAGACTCATTGTTTGTCATGGAAAAGCCATTCATCCATACACAACTTCCTTCCTCCCCAGACTCATGGAGATAAACTTTCCATTCTGTCTATTCCCTATAGAAACAGACCCAAAACATGTATGCGTGGCTACACACACACACACCTCGGCATCCCTCCGTCATGCTCGGGGCTGTGGGAGGAGGAGAAGGGAGGATATAGAAGATGTGAATAAAGTCACCCTGTTTTCTTCAGACGTGGATCCTGCTGTGCCCAGGCAGTAAAACTCCCCTCCCACCGAGGTTCTGGGTCACACAAGGCTTTTTTGTCCTGAGGCTAATTTTGGCACTTGCAGCCCCACATCTGCCTGCCAGGTGAGATGGGCCACCAGCTGCAGGTACAGCACATCTGGATGGGGGAGGAAGCGAAGCGTGCTGCAAACAAACACAGCAAGTCCACCGTGGCGGGTGCGAGGAATTCGATAAAAAATATACTTCAGCGGTCTGAGCTGCCGAGTCTGGTGATTCATGTCTCGGGTGCTGCTCGTGAGGCAGGCTGAAAGGCTGGGCACTTGCACATCCTGGAGCACGAACACCGTGGCCATAGCCTGGGGCAGACCAGCAAGCTCAGCCTGCCTTTGAGGAGCCATTGCTGCAGGGCAGAGTTGGGGGGACACCAGGCTCAGTGTGGACGCTGTGTGGGACAGGAGGGGGGGCGTCTTTCCATGGCATAGTGGTGGAGACCATGCAGAGCAGGGTAGGACGGGACAGTGGGAAGCCACATAGAGATGGAGGCAGCAGCAGTGGTGAGGATGGCGTGATAAGGTGGCTGTTTCTCTGCGGTATGAGGGAGGCAGGGTGTGAGGAGCATCTGTTACAAGTATCGGCACAGTGTGGGATGCCTTCGTTTGCCTTCTGCCGGTGTCTGGGGGAGACAGGGCTGGGGAACTGCCGGCTTGCCCCCGCCTTTGAGGTTCCCGGTGGGTCGAGTGGGGAAGGGAGAGGTTGTTTGGACAAGAGGAGCCTTTGAAGCTTTTCTCCTGTCCACCTTCCCTGCCCATAAAGCCATTAGACTGCGGTGCCAGCCCTACCTGCGCTCGTCGCTGGCGGCCCGGCCGAGCCTCGCAGACCCCCCACCCGGGGCGCGGGGCCGGGGCCGTGGCGTGAGGCCCCTCGGGAGGCCGTTCTGGGGAGGGGGCACAGCTCATTTCCGAGCCGCCTCTGCATTACAAAGGCAGCGGGGCCAGCGCGGCGCTTTGATGTGCCCCGCCGGCTCCCGCACACCTGCGGCCGCGGGGTACCCGGCACCGGCGGGGGCGGCCCGGGAGCCCCTCTGGACGCCCGTCGGGGCGAGAAGAGCCCCGAGCTCACCCCGGGCGGGACGCGGAGGCTCCGTCGGTGCCGGCGGAGCCCCGGCAGCGCGGCCCCTGCCCCGGGGCCGGGGGCGGGCGGGAGGCAGGGCCGCCGCCGGAGCCCCCGGGAGGCGGCGGCCGGGGAGGGTCCTGCGGGGTGGGAGGGGGCGGCAGCCGGGCTGTGCTCGCCGCGCCCCCGCCGCACGCAGGCCCCGCTCCAAGGGCTTCTCCTCGGCACTTCTCCGCAGGGCGCCCCGTCCCGGCGGCCGGCTCGGCGGGGGCTGCCCCCGCAGCCCACCATGACCGGGCCGAGGCTGGCCCTCGCCGCCGCGCTCCTCTGCAGCTGCACCTCGCCGGTGGCCGACGCCAACTCCTGGTGGTAAGTGAGGGGAGCCAGCGGTGCCTTTGTCCGCCGAGGGCCGGGGACCGGGGACCGTCCGAGGCGGTGCGGCAGCTCCCTGCCCTGCGCTCTCCGCGGGAACTTCCCTGCCTCCCGGGCTTCTTTCGCAGCAGCTCGCTTCTTTCCAGGTTCCCCCCCACCCCACCCCTCCCACTGTTCCTGCCCAGTTTCTGGAGACGTGGGACGCAGCCCCTCTCCTTCCAGGCACTTGTGGGCTCCTTTTGTACGGGCTCGCTCAAATGCCGTCCGGGCTTTAGGATGTGGGGAATGCGTAGGGAGTGGGTGGGTAAGGTTTCCTACCCGCTGCCAAAAGCCCTGGGAGCAGCCGCGGAGCCCCCTTCTCCTGAAGAGCGGAAAATAGCCTGGCTGGAAGGCAGGCATCGCTCACTGGCGCTCTGTAGAAAAGCTACTCGCTTTCTTCTGCAGAGAAAGTGCTGAGCTTTCTCTCTGCCCCCTCCCCATCCCGGGTGTCCTCTGTGTTTAAACTCGGGTTACAAACGAGCTGTGTTTCTCCCGCTAGAGCCCTGGAAAAGCCTCGCATCTGGCAGAGCCGTGGAGGGAGGCAGCTGACATGAGAAATGCGCCCGGGCTCCGGGCTGGGCTGGGCTGGGCTGGGCTGGGCTGGGCTGGCGGGGAGAGGTGCCGGGCGCTTCGCGGAGGGGGCCTCTCCCTCCAGACTCCCTGGGATGTTTTTCTCATCGTAGGTCTTTGGCCATGAACCCCATCCAGAGACCTGAGATGTACATCATCGGCGCTCAGCCGGTGTGCAGCCAGCTGCCGGGGCTCTCCCCTGGGCAGCGCAAGCTCTGCCAGCTCTACCAGGAGCACATGGTGTTCATCGGGGAAGGGGCCCGCAGCGCCATCAAGGAGTGCCAGTACCAGTTTCGGCAGCGGCGGTGGAACTGCAGCACGGTGGACAACACCTCCGTCTTTGGGAGGGTCATGAAAATAGGTAGGAATACCTGGTAGAACAGTACTACACCCGGTAGTGCAGGGACGTGCTGGGTGCAGGCCGGGTGTCCCTCTGCACCTCTCCCGCTTCCTTCAAATACACATGCAGCAGTGATGAGCCCCATTAGTACAGCTCCTAAAGCTGCGTTTAACGAGCTTCTCCATTCCCTGGTGTGCTGGTGCTTGCCTGCGCGCTGCCTGTGCCTGGGCGGGTGGCACCAGTGCCTCTGAGCCACAGTAGGAGCCAGCGGGGGGCGAGGGGAACACACTTTCTTTTTGGGGAAGCACAGGACGGTAAGAAGAGCAGGGCGTCTTTGAGTGGTTGTTTGTAGGTAGTGAGGGGAAAAAACTGGAGCCAGGAACAATGGCCCGTGTTATCCTTACCGGCATCTTGAGTACCCTGGGACAGGGAATGCAGCCCTGAGATGTGGGAAATATGGGCTCCCCTGGCATGGGAATTCCCCCCCTTCCTTGTATTGCCACTTACTGTGTAAACCTAAGCGATTTTTATAATTCCTGCCCTGCTGGCTGTAAGAGGCGCATTGACAGGCCATTGCTGCACTTGAATTGAGGTGTGACCTAGCTACATTGTCCCAGCTCCTTTTGAAATGCAATCATCTGATGGCAAGAAACTGAGAAATCCGGGCTCGTTTTGATGTGTCCGACAGCCAGGACAATAAAGAAAAGGTGTTAAAACAGACACACACACGCTCACACTCACTCTCCACACCCCTGTCTCAAGAGGTTTTCTTTCCCACCCACAAAGCCAATCATTTACACTGAAGAACCAGCACTATTTCTCGGTTGTGAGCTCAAGGAAAACACTTAGCAAGAGATGGAAAAAGACCTTCAGCTCCTGAACCCCCGGCTGCCCCCAGCATTGCTCGCACTTGTTTTGGCTTCACTCTCAAAAAACCTGCATTGGCAGCAAGACACCAAGAGGTGCATCTTTAATACCTCTGGGGCGTCAAGGTGATAGGACACCAAGTCCTGTGATCCCTTCCCTTTGATCCTGAAATTCTTACATGTTATCCTAGAGAATTCTAGGGATATTTCTGCATGAGTTACTCAACCTTTCAAAATTCCTAATTCAGCCCACCCCGAGCCATTCTAACTCTTCCCTTTCTGCCTAGCTCATACTCCAACAATTCTTCTCTGGGGTACTCCCCTGGGAAATGCCATTTCCTGACAGATACTTCTAGTTCCTGACACACATCCAAGGCATCTGTGCATCCTTGATCTCTCACTTTCTGATAGGAAGGGTGGTGGCCAGATGGGGCTGCCTGCAATCCTAGATTGTTAAAACTTGTGCTTTGGGGTATGAAAACTGAAATTTCAGCCACCAAATGGAAAGGACGGAAAATACACCTCCATCTCTCTGGTGACCTTCCCTCACACATAACTTACCCTAAAGAACGGGGTAAATTTCAGATCCCCAAAAAGATACTAGTGACTTCACAAGGATGCAAGAAAATAGCAATCTCTCCTTCTGGAGCAAACCTCATTCTCTTCTTCAGTATTTTCCTGCATCCCTGGGTTGGTCCAGTGAGAGAGTCCACACCTGGAAAAGAAAGGGTGAACTAAGAGAAAGCAAAGATCAGAGCTGAAGGATGAGAAGCTGTCAGGAAAGATCAGAGTGTGTAGAGGAAGAAGGGACTAGAGTGGGTAGTGGAAGTGGGAAGATTTCTCCTCTCTAAAATGAATTTGATCCTATTTGTTTAGACTGGGAGTAGATTTGGGTTTTGATGAAGGCAGTAGGTGTTGTGGGTATGTGGCAGGTGTGACTGGAAGTCCTGCTTGGTTTGTGTGTGCTGCATTTGTTTGCTGAGTCCTGATGTATCTCTATTAGGAATCTGCTGATGGCAGTGTCTGTGAGGTGACTGCCAGCAGTTGCCCACTGTTTAAAAACCTGTCCTGACAGAGTTTTGAACCCATCTCCTTTAGATTCTCTAGGCAGTTAGAGTATGTTCAGATGTTTATACTCCGGCAGAAGACAGCACAGCAATAAGAAAACTGTCCCCCAAGGTGGCCTGGGGTATTAGGGGACCCATGATTCATGGCTGTTGCCTGTGTCAGTGATAAGCTGCTGCGCTGCCTCTCAGTTCCACCTCCCGCTTTTGCATTTTCCTACTTTGTAGTGAGTCATTGCTTATCATTTCAGCAAATCTATTTTCCACACTGGGGAAGAAGACAAAGCCTTTCAATCTCTCACGTTGTGTCAGCTATAAAGTCATTCTTCCCTGGGTTCATACTGTGTGTCTGTCTCCTGCTTTCAACCTCTGAGCCCCAAATCTGGACCGCAGCCCTTTTTCTGTACTCTGTGCCAATGGCACGAGAAAGGTCTGGAGACCAGAATATCTGCAAGAGTGCACAGGCATGCCAGATTGTTGTGGAGAGGGAGGGGAAAGGAGATAAGAAGGACCCAGAAGGTGTGTAATGTGCCAGCAGCCCTCGGCTGCCCACCCACTGATGCAGGCACAGCGTATATTACATGATTTCTTGAGCTGCTCTAGATTGTGAGAGGGGAGGAGAACCTGACCTGGCCAAGTCCAAAGCCTGGGAGATCCTCGCGAGAGCGTTCACTCAGAAACCTGGAAGATTAGTTTCCTTTCCCCCTCGCAGAACTTGGCTTGGCTCAGAAACAGGAGACCCAGTCAGTCTGTGTTTAATCATTACACCTTCATTTTGTGTGTTCCATAGAGGTGAGGCAGTCCAGTGATACCAAGCTTTTGTGGGGGCATCCACAGCACTGAGGTAGGCTGCTTTTCAGCTTGGGTCCCTTTTCAGCATGGGTCCCTCCTACTGCTTGTGTTGTCATGAGAGTTGCTCTTACCTTTTAAATGTGGTTTATTCAATAATTATATCTGATGTACAAAAATTATTTTTCTGAAGCTACTTCTTGTTCTGTCAGTACAGATTTTTTAGACTGCACGTGTGTTTGTGTATGTATCTCTATGGATTATATACAGACATTCCTTACTGCTACATTTATGAGGGGGAGAGGACAAGAGCCCCCCAAAAGGTCATGTTAGAATTTCCTCAGGGGAGGAGGGAACAGATCTCCCTCTGAGTAATCCTAAATGCAAGGCTGGGGTTTCCAGGTTAGTCCAGTCATTTCTGGAGCCAGAGATCTTATCTCTTCAGCCTTTTCAAATGCTAAAAAAAAAAAAAAAAGAGTCATAAAACCAGAGAACAAAGAGAAATATTTTTTCTTAGGTTTGTTTTTTTTTCTTCGAGATTGCCAAACTTTAGGATAATGCTTTTTTAAAAAATCAGTTGAAGCTAAATCTTTTTCATCAAAAAAGTCAAATCGACGCATTTCTGCCATCTCTGTGTTAGTCTCCCCAGTGGGGTCCGTTCTCCCATTTCCCTCTCGAGCAGCTCCAGGGAAGGGAGCCGTGGGGTCCGAGCCCTTGCCTGGGTGCTGCCCGAGAGCCGCCGCAGCCCCGGGCTCCCCGCCCTGCAGCCGGCGGCGGGCGGGCACAGGAGGGCAGCAGAGCTCCGTGCAGCTCCACGCCAGCCGGGCAGAACCTCCCGGGGCCCGCAGCCCCCGGCATCGGCCCCGGCGGCCCGCGGTGACTCTGATCCAGCGCTCGGGAGAGCTCAGCAGAGGTGTGGAAAAGGGCGGAACAAATTTGGGGGACACCCCAGTCCTGTGAGACGACAGCACAGAGGTGTGGAACTGGAATGAACTTGGAGAGGACGAGCACAAGCCCAAATACTTTTCAAAGGGTGGAAGGCACGGCAGGAGAGCGGAGAAAACTTGGATGTATAAGCCCTCAATTGTCAGCTACAAATTTGGTTTGTATTAGCACAGGCTTTTATCACATCTGATCCTGCCTCCCAGGCCAAGCCATGGTCTTCCAAACCTACCAAAGTCTAGTGAGCACTGTGGTTTGTTCTGCTTTGCGGGCAGCACCAGAGAAAAAGCCCCACCCTGCTGTGACTTGTTTCAGCCTCTCCCACCACCATCCTCCAGCAGTCTTAAACAACTCGTGCAGACCCAGGGGCTGCCCACTGAGTCGTGCCGCTACAGCTGACAGGTGGAGATGGTTAAAACATGGACAGTAAAAGTGTAAATCCAGTCTGTGCTTTCAGAGATCTCAATCCAGCTGTAAGGATGCTAAGCACCCAGAGTTGTGAGAACTCAGTTACACAAGCTGTAACAGCGTGAGGTCCTTTCCTTGCCTTTATTTTAATCCTGATAGACAAGAGAGGGCTCTACTTAACTGGACGTGTCTGCAGGACTCTTTCTATACAGGCACAGATGGCTAGGGGCAAAACTGCACATTGGACTGTTATCTTCAAAAAAACCCAAACATAACATGTGAAACAAGCTAGATGAGTAAAAGCTTGATTTTTGGTTACTGAAAAATGAATTCCTTTATGGGCCAGTCTCAGCTGAATTATCTTAACTAGGAGTCACTCCTCTATACCTCTTTAGGGGAGCATAGTCCTTTCCTTATGACCTGCTAGTAAGGCCCTCCTTTCTATATTATGTGTCCTGTAGCATTTTATCAGCCCTGTGCTGTACTCCAGAGAAGAAACCGTGGTGTTCAACTCTCATTTGGGGTGGGGGGAATCACAAGTTGTTCTGCAAGGTGGATGCCATTCACAACCCTGCCTTTGTCTTGGGTCATTACCACTAAGTTGGTGATAAGCTGCTATTAGTTACAAATTGTCCGCAGGTGCAAATTGGAACAAGAGCATACTGAAAGCATCAGCTCAGCCCTGCTGAGGGTGCTGGCACTGAGAGCCTCCTGGGCTGGTGACAAACTAAGTATTCTTGGAAGCTCTGCCCTCTGAAGTCATTCAAATTTGCTTGAGGTTTGGTGTAAGTAGCTCTTCACAATTAGATTGCTTATTCTAATGAAGCTTTGGCAGCTGTACTCTTTATCACCTGAAAGTTTGGTGATGAACACAATGACTCTGAAGGTGTTGGTTTGGCTATTAAGACCGTGTGGTGAGAGTGCAGGTGTGGATTGCCTCCTTCTCCTTCCCCATTCCCCCTCTACTCCCCCTCTTCAGACCCACGGCACTCCTGGTGCTTGGCCTCATGCAGTGTTCTGGCTGTGATGGTGCCCCGGTCACACTGGGGCTGAGTCACTGCCAGGAATACATAGCTGGAGACCCGATCCAGCTGCTTGGCTCAGATGCTGTGTAGGGCATACATGCCAAGCAGGGCAGTCTCTAGTAAACCTGCTAATGGAAAGTCTTTTCATTTATTATTGTCTACATGGGAAAGTTTTACTTGTTCCAGCACTGCGGTTCTGTAGGCACTGGGAGAGCCTCTGCCTGGATGCTGGAGTGTAAAAAGGAGTTCCTTCAGTTTGTCTCCAAACAATTTTCAGCTGACCTTATGTAAACCAAATTAAGGTCGATGAACTGAGGAGCCTGTAATAAAGACTGCTTGTCCCAATTATATGAAAACCTTTCCAGGTGATAACTGGCTTAACCAGAATGTTTCTTTTGCACAGGCCCAACCTTGTTGCTTGTTCTCAGTGATTATTGCCAAATGCAATGGCTAAGGCAGCAGCTGTATTTTTCAGCAAGTGAATAACCCTCTTGCTGTTTGAGAGTTTCTTCCAGGTTAAAATGAAAGGATAGTTGAAGAGGAAGGAGGCTGAGCAATCCCTGCCTATGGTGTTGCTATTTCTTTTGGCGAAGGCCTGCAGTTCCCAGGGCTCTTAAATGTTCAAACATAGGTGTAATAAAAGTAATAACCCTGGAGGAGCAGCACCTACAAATGATGAAGAACATGGTTTTCTAAAGAACATTGCTCCAGGAATCTCCGACTCTTCCCTGGTGCGTGGGGTTTGATCCTGGTTACACAGAAACTGCCAGCTCTGGACAGACCGGAGCTGAAATGAAAACAAAAATGGGATGCAGGCGTGTGTTAGGGCAGTCCCCCTCCTCCAGGACAGGATGGTGCCCTTGCTCTTGAGCATCACATTCTTGTGAATCCAGTGTACCTTCTCGGAGCACGCCATGTCCTGCTGTCCAGGCCCTGTTCCTCGCTGTGTGCTGCGTGTTAAACGTGATTAATTTGTCTCTCTCCCTCTCTCTCAGGGAGCAGAGAGACCGCCTTCACCTACGCCGTCAGTGCGGCCGGGGTGGTGAACGCCATCAGCCGGGCCTGCCGTGAGGGAGAGCTCTCCAGCTGTGGCTGCAGCCGCACGGCCCGGCCCAAGGACTTGCCCCGAGACTGGCTGTGGGGCGGCTGCGGCGATAACGTGGAGTACGGATATCGTTTCGCCAAGGAATTCGTGGATGCCAAGGAGAGGGAGAAGAACTACGTGAGGGGTTCAGAGGAGCAGGCCCGCATGCTGATGAACTTGCAGAACAACGAGGCTGGTCGCAGGGTAAGACAGATGCTGACCCTCTCCTTTTTCTCAGAGTCAGAAGGCTGGAGATAGCTGGATACCAGATTACTTGGAGGTCTGATGAGGGATAGTCCGGTGATAACCTCTGTAACAGTGTATGGCCACTTTTTCTGAATATTACAGACAATATTGACAATGATATATTCCAGTTTTAATGTCAGGCTTCCATTGCCAGCTAAAAGCCAGTGAATTCTGGGGTCTGTTGAGATACTGTATGGCACACGTGCAGACATGTAAGCCCTTTCCAAATAAACTAGGTGCTGTTACGGCCCATTTTTAAAGTTAATGTCTCAGAAATCAGCCTTCCAGAGCTCTGGAAGTGACAGGCTGGTGAAAAGAATAGTATTTTAGCATCTGGAGTTCTCTTCTGCTACCATCATTTAGATTTTTGGGAACATAGGGCCAGAAGCAAACATTGAATCAGGCTACCTGGCTATTTCTGGAACCTAGGCCTGACTCAGTTGCCTTGCTATTGGGCAAAATAATAATTTGATTCTAGGTGACAAATATTTTCTGAGAAGATTCACAGTTTTGATCTGGAGACCCCTAGGGATGGAGAATCCACCTCTTCCCCTTTGTAGTGTGGCACCATCATTAATCACCCTGTTTCAATGCTGTACCTCATTATCATTTGAATTTATCTGGCACCAGCTTCTAATCAGTTCTTTTCCTGACTTTTACAGCTAAATCCAAAAGCCTCTTAGTAATCAGAATTTCCTCCGCATACAAGTATTTATCTACTGTAATTTATTCACCATTCTTTTTTGACAAACGAGATAGAGCACTGAAAACTCTCTCACTTTCAGAGGTTCTCATCAGCCATCAAATCATTTTCCTGTCAATTTAGTGTACCCTTTCCAGTTTCCCCATACTCCTTTTGTATGCATTCAGTGCATGCACTTCTGCTTCTTACACAATTGCTCTGTCTGTGATTAATAGCCCGGAAGGTGTAGCATCCTTCATATGCTGTACAGCCGTGTAATCCTGCCTCTTTCCAAAAGTAGAACAGGAATACTTACTCCAACATTTGTGTGTTTTCCCCAGGGTGTTTTAAGTTTTTATCATTCTCCCGTAGAAGTAAGCTTTCCTAAGGTTAATTTTGTTTTTAATGCATGTTAAAAAATCCTATTAAGTGTATTTAGTCTTGCCTTTTTGCACATTCTTAACTAATATCCTTAGTTTCCTTATCAATTTTTTGCCCTTTCTTGCTTCTAATTGTTACTGAATTATCTTTCCCTTTCCCATGGATGTTTGTCTTTTCTGCACGTAATTTCAACTTCATTTTGCCACCAAAGATGGTGTGCTCTGTTTTTTTGATTGTGAAATCAGTGTGTCAGGTTGAAGCATTGCAAGTACTCCACGGTTCTTTTGCAAAATCAAATTGTGGTAAATTTGTGGTAGGTGAAAAAAACGGACTTGAAAATTGTAGAACTTGTGAGGTTTTGGTTTGGGATTGGGCTTTTTTTTTTGGCTTGGAAGGGTAGAGAGGTCTGCATTTCCTTAGAAATGCATGGTGTGGTGGAGTAGTAGCCTGACCATGACATTCTTTTCTGCATTACTTGCTTTGAACGTCTTAGATGTCTGGAGTCATAAACTTGGATTACTACAAATAAATACCCTGCCTAAAATAGGGAGCGAGTATGTTGTGAGACTTTACAGCCAGCCCTATTGCCTTGGGGGATCCAGAGACAGAATATGGCCAATAGTCTGAGGTGCCAGTTGAGCTGCAGTAACATTTGTATTAGAAGATCAAGTCAGAAGATTCTTGCTCCATGCCACAGGTAAAATACTGCCTGTCATGTTATTCTTGTCATATAGGCAAGATTCTTGCTGAGCTGTGATTTCAGGTGATGCTACAGATGAAAAATAGCTCTGTCCTGCTTTAGGGACAGAGTTAAAGGCAGTTGTTTCCTGCCTTTACTACAGTGGAGAAAGTTGTTTAAATTGTGCCCAGAATGCTACAGTGCCTTGCTTCTTTGGACTCTATAGACAAGCTCTCAAGGTGATTTCTGTGTCTCCAGTTAACCCAGGACCTGGACAAAAGCCTTTCCAAAGGGGCCAGCAAAAGACAATGTTATTTCAAGGTTGGGTTTTGTAGACTCTGTAGAACAGATGGCTGTAGAAAATAACCTTAGACTAAATGAACACAAGTCATTTCAGATTAAATTAAATAGTAGTATGAACCAGTGTGTAATTAAGCTTGTGGATTTCAAAAACAACTCTGATAAACTAAGGGAGCTGGTTAATAACCTGAGCCGAGGAACTCAATGTGGAGGAGGTCTGGAACCTTTTCAAGTCAAAGATGCTAAAGCCATTACAGTTCTGCATGCCAAGCAAGAGGAGAAAGCTTGTAGGAAGAATATCCAGACCTCACTGAATGAATAACTGCCACTGAGAAGCTATTAGGAATAGACCAAGAGCCTACTAAGAGTGGAAAAAAAAAAGAACTGATAGCAAATAAATAATGAAAAATTCTGTCTTAGAGGTCAAGAAGTGTAAAGATGAAGTGAGAACAGTAAAAATCACGCAGAGTCAGACCTTGAAAAGGTAGTACAACAAACAGCAACAGTTTTTTAAACTTTGCAGACTGAGGGAGATTGGAAAAAGGGGAGACATAGTCAATGAGGATGGGGCTGAGTCTAAAGGCAGAGAAGTTTTGGTCCCATAAGTAAGTGAGTGCTTTACCTGGGGCTTCCAAGTTGGAGTGCGGGACACTGCTCCTGGAGAGGGATGCTGTGTGTCTGCTGCACAGTGGAGACATCTCTGTCCTCAACACTTCTGCGTAGCGGGAATAAGTAGTTGAAGCTGATATTTGGCCAGTACAGGGCAGCCTTTCCTCTGGGCTCTTAAAAGCATCTTAGCATGGGAGCAAAGGAGCAAGGCTGGAGGTGGAAATTATCGCCACCAGGGTAGATGCAAAACTCAGGTAGCATGAACCTCTCAAGTCTCAGGGAGTGCTCACTTTCTTTCCTGGCACTCTGAAAGAGCTGGCACCGGTGATCTTGGTTCGTTTACAAGTGGGCATGGGGGAAAGGATATCTCAGAGACACAGGCAAAATGGGAAATAATTTGAGAAGACTTTTTCAAAGATTGATCGCATAGTCATTTAGAACATGATTGATTTCCTAGAAAGCGGACTAGATCTGATAGGTCTCATTTATCTGGACTTCTGTGAAACATTTAAGGTATTTCCCACATGGAAAACTCTTTGTTAAATTGGGAAATATAAGGAGAAATGCAGCAGCTATGAGATGGACAAGAAACTGGTTCAAGGAAAGATATCAGTAAGTTGTGAGAGAGGATGTATCTTGATCTTAACAGAGCTTGTTTAGCAGAGCTCATCAAGGACTTGCCTTAATGTTTTTGTGTCTCAGCCTCAACACAAGCATTAGGCTGATGAAATTTGATGATGATGCAAAGGTGGCAGAGGAGAATCTGAATTTCCTAGCAGCTAATGACATCTAATAAAACAACATTAAAACCATCATTTGAGGCCTTGTAGGAAATACGGTTTTAGTCATTAGGAAGTGAGTCTGCAGTCAGCTGCAGATGTAATGTGGCTCGAAAGGTGGTAAATATCCTATAGCATACTAGGGAAAGCCTCTTTATAAAACATGGGGGAATACTAATGCCATTGTATTAAGCTCTCGTGAGGCCCCACAATATTGTATGTTCTCATATTCCCAAGTAAAATGACCTCAGACTAGAAAAGGCTTGTTATGGCTGACCCAAGGGATAGGAATCTTTTCTTAAGAAAGTGGGCTAGACCAACTTTCCATATTTAGCCTACTAAAGTGAAAGTTGAGAGAGGATCTGACTGATGACTGTGTTCATGGGAGAAATAATAGGGGAGGAAAAGTACTTTTTAAGCAAAAGGCCAATTTGGCACAATAGCAAATGGGCATAAAGTGAATACATTTAGACTGGAAAGCAGAAAAAGATATTCTATCATTGGAATAGTGATCAGAATAATGGTGGCTGAAAACCTAATTGCTTTTAAAAGGGCACTGTATGCATTTAGGGAAAATGTTATTTGAAGCAGTGCCTACAATAGCAGGAGATCATACTTAATAACCAAGGAGGTCCTGTCTAGTCCCACAGTCCTAAACTTCTGAGATTCTGGAAGTAGGAAGGTGCATATGTAACTCCATACTCCCAAAAGTTGATGCTGAAGGAAAGGAGTACTGGAGACCTGGCAGTGAGCACTGCAGAGTGGCCACCAGGTGCCATCCCACCCCAGACATGCCCTGCTTTCCCAGCCAGTGTTTTAGTTGATGCCTTCTGATTTATAGGCAGATTTTTGGCAAGTCCCTTCACTCAGTTTCGTATGAGTGAGAAAGTTCTCCTCGAACCCTGAGGAGCTCTGGTGGCAGGAGAGAAGATTGTCCCTTCTCTCCGTGGTTCTCAGAGGAGCTGGGGGGGGGGATGGGAGGGGATCAGAGGTCTTTTATCTTTCAGGCAGTCCTGACCCCATCACCCCTTCACTCCACACTGGAGTCCTTGTGGTGGTGGCTTCTGGCTTTATTGCTCTTGTTTGTTTGTCTTTGGCTGTTATCTCAATATGTCCTTTCCTTCCATCTGTCTTTTTCTTCCAATTGGTCTCCATTACCCTCTCCTATTTCCCCCATTCCTTATCTGTCGTTGTGTCTGGCAGACTGGGATGGTCAGTCCTTCCATGCTGTTTACCCAGTCAGCATATGGCAGGCCTCAGTCATCAGTCACTCGAGCCAGAGCCAGAAGAGCCTGGAAGGGGGTCTGGCTAATTGACCACATAGGAATTACCCATTAATCCTCTTCCTGTTCTCATTCTTGCAAGAAAAGAATTGGAAGAGAACTTGGGCTTATGGGAAGGAGCTCTAAGCCTTTCCATTAGAGGCATTTTCAACCTGTTTAAGTGGCATGGCCATCGATCAGTTCCTGCCCTCAGAACTGCATGTGGGGTCTGTTATTCTTTACCTTGACCTGAGCCTGGTCAGGGAGGAATTCTCCAATTTCCTCTGCTTGCTCCCCATCCGGGCAGCAGAGGGGGAGAGTGTAGAGTCATTTAGCAGCTGAAGCTATGGTTACCTCCACGGGACACTGATGGTGGGAGCTGTGGGGGCTGAGTGGCGCCGTGCTTACCTGTGATAACTGGTAGCATTCTGTTCCCCAGCACAGCTACTACCCACATGGGCCAGATGTTTTGAGCATCAGTTGCCTAAAGCCAAGGCGGAGTGAACTCAGTCCCATGACATTAACTGAGAGGGATTGAGTTGCAGTGTTTTTCTAAAGGAACAAAGCCTAGGATTAGGAAGAATCATAATACTTTATAAAAACACTTGCAAGGGCAAGGGAGGCACAAGTGGCCTGGGATTTGACAGAACCATAACCAGAAAGTGCTAACACAAGCTTATAACAAGCAGGCTGGCAATGCAGTGAGGATATAGTAAGTGTCTGGTGCGCGGGAAATGCAGCTGTAGCTCTGTCTGGTTACAGTACAGCAGGAATCCTCAAAGAACGGTGTGGTTGGTCCTCTGCAGTGGTAGTTTGATCCACGGCAAGTGCTTAACTCCCAGCTTGTTACAGCTGTTACATTGCCCTGTAACATTGCGCCGTGAGGGATTGCCTCAGTAAATTGAGCTCTGAGGAGCAGAACTAAAGCTTTTCTGTTTTAAGGACTCACTCCATTGACTTTCTCAGGAGCTGGATTGGCCTCCATGTGATTTAGCCATTAAGCCAAATTGAATCTTCACTAGCTGTCAAAAGCACTAGACCTTAGTTAGGCCAGGAGCAACCAATTGTTGTAGGAGAACTCTGACCTCTTGCTGCTGGTCCAGAACATAGTCGCAGGCAGAAGGTTTTGCTTTCACTATGCTCAATTGCCTTAATCACCTAGTCCTTGGCATGTGACAGCAGAGAGCTGTGAAGCTTTCTTCTGTCAGTGAGTGAGGCAGAAAAGAAACCTCTGTGTTTGGCTGCTTTTTTCAGCAGAAAACCTGGCTAGGAGACACATTGCCATCTCCTTCCGAGCACCCTCTTTTTTTTCTCACGTTCCTTGATCTCCCCCACCAAATACAGCTGGTGGCAATTTTGCAGCTGATGCCAAACACCTTTGCTTGGCCTGTGGGATCTGGCAAAGGCACTGCAGGACGGCCTTGGGAGAGCAGATGTGAACCTGCTGGTGAGAGGATGAGGAGCAAGGGTTAGGGGTCAGCTCTATAACATGATGGTGTGGGGATGCCAGCTCTTTGCTTTGCAAGCTCTGTCAGTGCCTGAGAGCTGACAGGATCTCACGTAGCATGCGGTTTTGTACCCGTCTCTGAAATTGATCAAAAGAACAAACCCAACTTGCATTTCAGTTTATTTTCCATGGTTTTCAGCTTCGTAATTGTAGAATATTTTTCAGTATTTCACTCTCCTCCCAGCTAGTGTGGGGAGGAGGAGAGTAACCACCATCTCCCTTTACGTGTTGTATTTGTTCTGCTGAGGGTTTAACGCTCACTGCCCTGAATTTTGAGGACTCTTTGCTAACTTTGATGCCAGGTTTTCAGGGGTATGATGCATCTACAGCCCCCGCAGGCTCCTGAAAACATGGCTGAAAGCATCTGGGAAAAGACAGCATGGAAAGCTTGCGTTTGCTGTTAAAATCTAGGCTTTTCTGCCTGGCGACAGCCGTGTGGGCACAAGATGGCGCAGGTCCGCAGTGAGGGCTCCCGGCTCAGCCCTGCTGCTCCAGGAGGGTGCCTGGTTAACACCTCCAGCAGAGCTAAACTGCTCCGTTCCAGGGTGGATGTGTCCATCTTTGGCACCATCACCCCTGCCTGCTCCTCTCTGGACACTGCTGCTGGACGAGCTACTCTCAGCAGAGGTGAAGGGAAAGGGTGTGGGTCTGTGGATTTGTTTCCAAAGGATGCAGATGTATCCCTGCAAGTGATAGCCTTGGTTCCTGGGGCGTGTGGTAGGAAATGGGCTGGTTCCCAGGTGTTCCCTTCCCGCAGTGCTGAAGGGAAAAACATGCCACAGTGCTGTGGTCTCTGAGATGGGGAATTTCCAGGGTCCACCCTAAGAGGACTCTTCCTTTTTTTTTTCCTTCTCATGACCCTGCTCTCAAGCCAGCAGTCTGCCAGAGGGAAAGAAGGTGGGGTGAGGAAGCCTTGTTTGCAGGCAGTGTGACCAGAAATAGAAATATTTAGGGAACAGGAACACAGCAGTCGCAACAGGGAGAAGAGAAGACCTTTGTCTCTTCTGAAGGGCGAAACAACAGAAATTGCGGGGTAATCAAAGCAGTTCTGAAAGCGCGATGAATTCATTGTACTTAAGCCAGCTGCCAGTGCAGCAGGAATAAATGCAGCTCTGCCTGATTGCGCTTCTTTTCCCACAGGCCGTGTACAAGCTGGCAGACGTGGCCTGCAAGTGCCACGGCGTGTCGGGCTCCTGCAGCCTCAAGACCTGCTGGCTGCAGCTGGCTGACTTCCGCAAGGTGGGCGACCTGCTGAAGGAGAAGTACGACAGCGCCGCTGCCATGAGGATCAGCCGCAAGGGGAAGCTGGAGCTGGTGAACAACCGGTTCAACATGCCCACGCAAGAGGACCTGGTCTACGTTGACCCCAGCCCGGACTATTGCCTGCGCAACGAGACCACTGGCTCCCTGGGCACCCAGGGCCGGCTGTGCAACAAGACCTCGGAGGGCATGGATGGGTGCGAGCTGATGTGCTGCGGACGGGGCTATGACCAGTTCAAGAGCGTCCAGGTGGAGCGTTGCCACTGCAAGTTCCATTGGTGCTGTTATGTCAAGTGTAAAAAGTGCACAGAGATCGTTGACCAGTATGTCTGTAAATGAAAGGAGCCACCAAAGCAACAAATCTATATTATATAAATCTATATAAATATATTTTATATTTGTATAAATAAACAGATGATGATAATAATTAAAGAAGCTTATTTAAGAGACATTTTGGTTTTGAAATCTCCCCCATCAGGCCAGCTGGTTTGACATTCCGCCAGTTCTGCTGGAGAGTTTGTCTTTGGGTGCATCTCCTGGGTGCATCTCCCCTTGGATTGTTTCAGTCAGGGTGAAGAGGCTGAGGAGGTGCTGGCGAAGCACACAGGCACACATTACTTCATTACAGAAAGAAAGCCAGCAAGAAGAAGAAGAGTAGGTTCTTCCTGCTCTCTCATCGGTAAATCTCAGCATCTTGCATAGTTATTGCACATCGGAAATTACAGCCAGACGTGGGTGAGTCCTAGTTATTTGAGTTTCAAACCCTGCGCTGGGGAATTTGGAACCAATTCTTGGTCTGTCTAAAGGGCTTTGTCACACTAGAAGGAAGGTTAGCCAAGGCTCCCCTACCACAGTATGGCTTAAAATCTGCAGTCCTGTAAACCGTTCCTGGATGCTCCCCAGACCACAATGGGGTGGAGGAAGGTTTACCACCATCTGTTGTGAAGAAAGAAGGTGCAGCCTGTGGCTAACCAGCGCACAGCCTGAGAGTCCCCATGGAGCCAGCACCTCTTCTGTACCACCTGGGCCAAGGGAAATCTGTCCAGCTCAGACTACATGGCTCTGTGTGTGAGGGAAATTTTTTTTCTTCTTTTCCTCTTAATCCCGTGCTGAAACTGAATTTGTCAATAGAGAAGAAAAGCTGCCGGTGCCCAGGGATATTTGCAAAGTATATTTTGTCAGTAGAACGAAGCGTTGCACACACACACACACACATGCATCGTGACTGCAAAAGCACTACCACTGCCGGTTTTCCTCTTTGAAGTGGATGCAGGTGGGCACCTTGTTCAGCTCTATTAAATCCTCCTCACCGCCATGCCAGTTGTACAGTTTCTCTTTAATGTTAAATGCCCCCCAGTGACATTTCTTTCCATCTCTTGCTTGTGTATATGTGTGCTTTTTGTTTTATTCTTTTGGTGAGGTGCCTTTTATTTTGCTGCTCTGTATTTCAGAGTCCAGGGGGCCATGCCCTTCACTGGCATAAGCTCACCACAGATGCGTTTGCTCCCAGAATGTGGGTGTATGGTCACCAATGGACGTCTTTTCTGTGGTTTTGGTTTTTTTTTTTTTTTCCCCTTGGTAATAAAAGACTATAATAAAATTGCACTGGGGCAGAAGGCATTACCAAAGTCTGCTAATCAGTCTTACCACATTGGGATTTCAGTAGAATCCAATTCATAAAGCAGGGAACAAATGCTGTTTCTAGCACATTTCCTGTGCCTCATCAGCATCTGCAGAGTTCATTTGCAGTCAGAACAATCAAGAGGAGCCAGTTCCCAAAATTTAAGGGTTTGCTAATATAAATCCCCTTTGTTACTGACATTCCAAGGGTGGTGGGTTTTTTTTCCCTGTAAATTTTAAAATGCGCAAAATATGCCAATAAGCAAAGAGCCAGTTGTGAAGATTATTATTTTTATATTAAACTTCTGTTTCTTATAAAACATTGCAGTTTTACAGATTCCACCATTTCAACCACCAGAGAAGAATTTATATGTACCTTTCATACTTCAAATATTTGAGGACTCCAGAAAAGCACAAGGAAGAAAAATTATGCTTAATAATTAGGAGCTGTTGTTTTTTTTTAAACCAATGTGTCCAGTTTTTATTTTATTTTTTTTAATCCAACAGGCAATATATTTGCTGGCATCCCAGAATGCAGTTTTTTGGAATATAAACAGTGGCCTAGATTTATTTTATTATATAAAATCCAAAGCCAGTGGTATTGTAATTCAAAGTAACGGAAATAGTTTTCCATGCATGGAAAAAATGTGAGTGCAGTGGCCTGATCCAACTCCCATTAAACTTCAGTGGGAGCTGGACTGAGCCCAAGACTGGATCAAATGTGTGAGCTATTCACTCCTGGGATACTATATGTTTCTAGCCCAGTAATAAAACTTGTTCTACCTTGGATACATCTAAAAAAGACCTTTCCTCCCACCACCCTCACCCCATGTTCTTGTCCATCCTTATTGCATCAGTGCTTAAAGGTGTTGGCTATTTGTATATGACACCCTCAGGCATTGTTAATGTGCCTAACAATCCAAAATTACTTCATTTGTCCTTTCAGATAAAGACCACACGTTTAAGGGAGTCACAACTCTCCTTGCGGTTTGGCACCACAATAAATTTTGTGGGTGTAAACAACTTTGGGAGCAGAAAAGTTGGCATTGCTAGGGCTACTATTTATCTGGGTGTCCCTGGATATGTCCTTCTTTTTCCACCTAAAATGTTGTCTGGATGGAAAAAAGATGTTTTTTGGCCTTTTGTCCCAGCACTCCAGACCTCTGGCAGCCTGGATGGAGCCAGCAGTTCCTATTGGACTGGGACCATATAGCGATAGCAGAGAAGTGACCATTAGATTTCCTTCCTCCCCCTTTTTTTATAAGATCTAGGTTTCAGTATTTTAGATTTTCTGGGAATTTTGTATCCAAAAATTTGATCCCCCTAAACTGTAGCTTAAACCTTAATTTCTATGGCGCCCACACATAAAAGAACCTCCTTAGGGTTGTAGTAAGTATAAAATAAGAACACAGCCAGATTGGCGTGATACAAAGCCAAAAGAAGTCAAACAGAAAGCTGCAGCAGAACTGCTTCTATACTGTGAAAGTTTAAAAGTGTTGGATTTTTAAGTTGTGGCTTTTTAGATGCACAAAGTGGTAGAGGGGTGCGAGGCTGGGGAGCTAAGCTTGATTCTGAGCTCTGTCGATTATCTGCTTTGTAATCTTCCACAAATTACTTAATTTCCTTGCATTTTAGCCTCCAGCCTCCTTCTGTATAAAATGGGGAGCAGAACACCTCCTTTTCCTGTAAAGCTTTTTGAGAAATATGTCAGATAAAGAAGGTGATTGAAGGCCTACCCTCTATGCTCATTAACTCTGGCAGGCAGACAGCTGTATCCCCATTGTTTTGGGACACGCTCAATTCGGGACAAAGAGGCTCAGCGGCACCTCGGAGGGTCAGATGCTCCGAGGTGGTTGCTGGGGGGGCTCAGCAGGAGCCTCGGAGGGTCTGCAGCAGCAAAGCCCTACTCTGGCACAATGCTGGGGGAAAGACTGTGCTACAAAAGAGGGGTCAACTCGGGGCTTGTTTATTTATGGGTATTGAATGTCTTGTAGCTAGGGTAGGGCTTAGGGAGGTTAGCCTGGTTTCTGAATCAAATACCTGCCTCCTCAAATTCTGTTTGCACTTTCATATGGATAAGATATTCACACAATACGCTATTATGTAGTGTGTGCTGGTTACTGGCTGCCACATTCCAACCCTGAAGTCACTGCGCTTCCAGGCTGATAGAAATGACCACCCTTAAGTCATGTAAAACTCAAATATTTTGGACTTAAAGGCACTGTGCAAACATACTGTTATTGCAAGTCAGTGAACATCAGCTCCTAAATGGAGCAGAACAGGATGCAAATCTGTCAGCATTTCCCAACTGGCCAGTACCACCTAAGTTATAGCACGAATGAATGAGGCCTTAGTATGCTCTGCTGCGAGGTAAGCTAAGCAGAAGCTGATCCCAGAACAGAAACTTTCATTTGATATTAATTATGGTAAAAAGATGGTGGCAGGGTTGTGAGAAAATTTAGATGAACCTTTTATCACTGCTGAACTTTAGGCCATTTGCATCACTTGGAGGCTTCCTGTTCTTTGTGTCCAAAAAGTCTGTGCCTACCCAGAGCTCAGTGTAACACAGCAACTGCTGCCTTTTGCAATTCAGGAAAGAAGCTGAACCCAGACAAGCAGTGTGAGTGTAACTTATACTTTCTATATGGACCCAAGTTTTTTAGCCCTGACAAAGCACCAGTGAAGCGGATCTTATTCAGTCATATAAAATCAAACATGCAAGGGTCTCTCTGTGCTCACTTGACCCCATCCAGGGAGAAGCCTAGTAGGTTTAAATTACACTGTGGGAGCAATTCCTAATCACCTGTGGCTACAGAAATATAGACAGTATTTTCATCTGCTGACACAGACACAGAACATCCCAAGGAGACCTTGGGAAATACCTTCCAGTGACTAAAGGGCATTTCTCAAGTGTCTGTCACAAGGTTTTTCCAGAACCAGCTGCTTATATGGTCATTAACTTTCATTTAGCTTTTGTTTAACTACAGTTGAGTTTAAATAGTTTCTAGCTGAAACTCTATGCAATCAAGTTCACTGAAGGGCGGGCTCTGAGGGAACTGTCATACAACTGACAGTAGCAGATGTGAACATAATATCAGATCCCCTTCTCAAAGGTAAACTCTGGCCAGTCCCTGGGACACAGAGATGCATCCCATCTCCTTGGTCCTGATGTGCATCCTGGCCATATCCTGACTCCCTGCTAGGGCAGTGTGGGCATCAGTGTCCTGTGAGCAAAGGCTGATGGACACAGAGACTGTTGAGTGGGTAGCCTCTCCCAGCTCCAGTGTAGATAGGTGGTGGCTTTGAGACTGGGCCACATTGTGAGCATACCAGCTCTGAAGTCTAAATATAACCAGCCTCAGAGATAACCAAAGATAAGATTTCTGTGCCCAACAGAACACATACCAGAAAGGACAAGAAGAATCACAATCAGCAGTTAAAACTCCCCAAATAACAATAATAAAAACCCCCAGTATAATCCAGTGATCACAGCATGCTCATGCCTCCATCTATCAGTTTTCTTCTGCAGGGTCTGAAGCTGATACTACACTCTCTTGTTTCCCAGCTCTGATTAAATGACAGTTGAAATCTGTTTTTTTGCATTAGAATTGAAAAAGGCATGACCTACTTGGTAGCATTTCCTCAGAGAGAGAAAGAGAGAAAGGGGGGGGAACAAACAGGGTCAGGAGTTCTCCCTGTGAGCAGTGATAAAATGCAGCAGCCGTAAAAAGAAGTACTAAATATTGCCCTGTGACACTGAAGTTGGACACCTGCCCTAAGTGTCACGGTTACCTCTCCACACTGCCCAGTGCAAGCTGGC